CGGCCCCGCGCGCGCCGCCGACCTGCGCTGCTCAAGCTCGCATCGCTGCAGCCTTCGTGCCACGCGCCGCCGCACGCCCTGGAGCAGGAGGAGACGCCGCTGTGACCGCCACCGCGGCGCCCCGTCCGGGGTCTCCCCCTGAGCCCTTCCACCTTGGGGGCGTCCACCCCAAGACCCCCACCCGGGGTCTTCCTTTCGCTACCTCTATCTGGTGGCCTTTGACCCAAGTCTCCCCTCCAAAGGTCTGCGCACCCAGGCTCGCCCTCATTGTCCTTGCGGGGGGGTCGCCAAAGTAGCCGTCTGTGGGGTACCATCCATCCAGCGTGCCGGCCGGATGGAGCCGCAGAACCTCCGCCCGGGGCCTCAGCCTGGGCTGGGAGCCCTGGGCAGGTGCTCCGGCCCGCCTGCTCGAGGGGAGCCTGCCCTCCAGCCGAAAGCTCAGGCCCTGCGCTCAGGCTGCTCGGTGCTGGCCACTTTGTAGCAATCCGCTCATCAGCACTGCCCGACACAGGCCCAGACAAAGCGGGACTGACCCACAGGACCCCACACCAACATTCAGGCCCAGCGGTCAGGCCTCCGCCACCAGGGCGGTCAGCTAGCGGCAGCGGCCCCGAACTGCCCACAGACCGCAAGCACCACGCAGCACAGCCGGCCTGAAGGCCCTTTCCACACTCCAGAGCCCAGCCCTTCTCTGCACTTGGGGTCTCTGGCTTCAGGGGCTCAGCACCTCTGTGGTCCCTGGCCAGAGCCGGCGCTCCTGATGCAGGTAGCTGAGATGTGCAGGCTGGGTTCAGGTGGCACTGGCAGGGTGGGCGTGCCCGCCTGGTTCCACCCATCTGCTGGAACTCAAGGCGGCAAGGAGCCACGGCTTGTGGTCGAGCGCCCGGCCAGAGGGCTGCTGGGGTTCAGGGAGCCGCTGGCCTGCGGGTCCTGGCGGAGAGCACACACCTCCCCCCGGTCCCCGGGCTCCTCTGAGGACCCGGGGCTGGAGGAGGTCGCTGGAGGGAGACCACTGTCCAAATGCCCAAGGGGAGGGGGGTCTGCAGAGAGCAGGAAGGGCCGGGCGCCTCGTCCGCCCACGGCGACCCACAAGCGAGGAAGGCCGGCGGGGCCGAGAGCAGCGGGCTTCCAGACACTCCTATAAACTTCTCAGGTGGTCACCGCCGGCTCCTGGCCCGGAGAGGGACAGGGCACGGGCCATGCTGTGGCTGTGTCCCAGCAGCCCACGCGGGCCCCGGGCAGACCCCCCTCAGCCCAGCCCTGCCGTCAGCGAGAGCACTCGCCCGCCCAGGCCGGCGGGCAGTGCCCGGGGCCACAGTGGGAACTTCCCACCAGGAGCCCGCTCCTGCCGTGGCCTATGAATGTATCTCCTTAGGGACACTCTTGTGACATTTTCTATTGGGGAAGATTTCCTATTTATTTAACGCTGGACTGTAGCCCACTTTGTGGCGGCCCGGGGGCGGGGCGGGGTGCGTCTGGGGGCCCCCCCATTTCCCTGAAGACACCAGCTGAGCAGACGAGGGGCTTCTGCTGAGACTGGACCAGCGTGGCCAAGACAAGGGGCGACGCGCCACGCGTTCCTTCTGTGGCCGGCCACAGCCCGTGTGCCTTAACGTCGCGGCGAGCCCGGGCCGCCTCCCACCCCCAGCCCATTAAAGCGTCTCCAGGCACCACGCGCAGTGTGTTCCTGTCGTCGCCAGCAGGCGCCCGCCCAGGGCCGCTGCCGGTGCTGCCCAGCTGCGGGCGACCTGCACAGGGGCAGGAACCAGGCAGGGAGCGGCACCCAGACACCAAGCGCCCTGCTGGAGGGGGCAGGGGACAGCACCGGGTGCATGGCCCTGGGGGGGGACGGCAAGGTGTGGTGGAACCCCACGCCTGCCCCTACGTGTCCCGGGGCCCCAACAGGTTCTGGCCCCCCACTGCCCAAACGCCCGTGACGGCGGCTGCAAGTGCCGTCCCCGACGGGCCCCGTGCGCTCGCCGGGCCTCCGCCAGAGCCGCCTCCCTGCCGAGGGCATCACGGTCTGGGCTCCCGTGGAGACGGGCGTGTGGAGGCCCGGCGCAGCCCCTCCTGACCACCCAAGCCCGCTGCCCTACCCGGCCCCTGCAGGTGGTCATGGGGGGGTGGGAGCCAGGTTCTGGGGCTGCCCTCAGAGTGGCCCCTGCCAGGCAGCCACCCCGGGGCCCTCAGACAGCAAGGCCCCTGGCCTAGGCTGACCGGGCCCCCGAGGCACCTGACGCGACTGCTCCCCACGCCAGCAGAGCCCTTCGCGGGCACTCTCCGGGGCCAGGGACGGCTGCCCGAGGGGCGCCCTGACCTGCGTCTCAAGAAGGGGGCTCGGAGGAGCAGCGCCGGGAAGCAAGAGGCGCACACCGGGCCCCCGTTTATTCTGGGACCGCCTCCCGCCAAGTGGCCAGAGGGGAGCCGACGACGCGACAGCCAGGAAGCGGGGTCTGGGCCCACAGGAACAGGCTGGGCCCCGCCGGTCACCGAACGCCAGTCTCCCGCCGCTGACCAAGCACCCGCTGGGGCCTCCTCAGCGCAGGTCGCCACGGCGAGGTCCCCGCGCCTCCATTCTGCAGACCCGGGCGGCCGGAGGCGGCTTCGGTCTGGGCCCCTCGCAGGGCCCTGGGGGCCCTGCCGGCGTCCACCTCCGAGGCGGCTGCACCCAGCCGCGGCTACTTGAGGAGCTTGGCCACGTTCAGGCTGGGGACAGTGATGTCCTTGAAGAGGGGCACGTAGTCGGGGCTGGCCTGCGCTGGGCCCTGCTCCAGCGACTCCAGGATGGTCTGCTTCATGTCCCGGTTGGTGTCGCCGCGCACGGCCAGCAGCGCCCCGATGTGGTCGTCCCTGGGACAGGGGGCGTCACCAGGGGCCCGGGGGCCGGCCTCTGCCCGAGGGCCTCGGGCCGCCCGCGCCCGCCGCAGACCCAGAGGAGGGTGCCCGCACCTGATGTCGGGGTACTTGCTGACCAGTGTCGAGACCTCCAGGTACAGCAGAGAAGGGTCCGTCAGCTTGATGACCTCCGCCACGGCCACAATCGTGTCGCAGTGTCCTCCCGCGTCCTCGCCGGAGCCCTGGGGGCAGGGGC